CACCTGAGGTCAGGGATTCAAGACCAGACTGGCTAACATGGTGAAACCCCTTCTCTGCTAAAAATACAAAAATTAGCTGGGTGTAGTAGAGCATGCCTGTAGTTCCAGCTACTTGGGAGGCTGAGGCAGGAGAATCACTTGAACCCAGGAGGCGGAGGTTGCAGTGAGCCATGGTTGTACCATTGCACTCCAGCTTGGGCGACAGAGTGAGACTCTGTTTTGTTTTTTTTTTTTTTTAAAGCAACAACAACAACAAAAAGAAAGTTGGCTGGACTTCATGTCCTCTTTCTTTCTTTCTCTCTGTTCCAGAGTTCATGAGCACACCCACAGGCTGGTTAAGTGGTTTAAAAAAATGGAAACATAAAAATCAGTTTGTTTTGCTTTTTGTCAACAGTTGTGTTAAAAGACGTGAGTGAAGGGAGAAAGAGTAGTGGATAATCCATTAAAACTCATGCCTCTCTACTTTCTGCTGGGTAATTACCATAAAGGAAAATTGCTGGGTCTTGATCCTCCTGCCCTTCCACCCTGAGAAACTGTCATCTGTGCTCCTGAGTTCGGCTGAGAATGGCCCTGACTGGGTAGGGGACTGGCTGGTGAAAGAATTGGCTTTCGGAATCTCCCATTCTCTTCCCACTTCCTACAGTCTCACAAGTCAGATCTTTCCCAAACAGACCTACTGATGAAGAAATGAGGCCAAATTAACATGAAGTATCATTATGAGAAAGAAATAGCCAGTGATACTAACACTTATGAGACTGGGGCAGCTTTGCCAGATATTTTAAGGCTTCTTTTTTGCCTAACCAATAAAGTTACTGCTTTGTAAGAACCAGTCCAGTTGGGTACAGTAGCTCATGCCTGTAATTCTAACACTTTGGGAGGCCAAGGTGGGAAGATTGCTTGAGTTCAGGAATTCAAGACAAGCTTGGGCAACATAGTGAAACCTCATCTCTACTAAAAATAAAAACAAAAATAAATTATCTGGGTGTGGTGGCACATGCCTGTAGTCCCAGCTACTTGGGAGGCTCAAGGGGGAGGATTGATTGAGCCCAGGAGTTTGAGTCTGCAGTGAGCTATAATCACTCCAGTGCACTCCAGCCTGGGGCAACAGAGGGAGACCTTGTCTCCAAAAACAAATGAACAAAACAAACGAACAACAAACAAAAAAAAAAGCAGTCCAGATTTTCTCATACTCTGAACTTGTAGAAACTACAAAAAGACTCTCTGGCTCTAAGCTTCAGGATCTTGGAGAGGTACAGTGTTAACAGCTCAGATTATCATTTCAATTTTTATTCAAGTGTGTTCATGTCTACAGCCTTCTTTTGAATCCTCTGAGACTGTGACTCTGAGACTCCTGTAACTTCGAATGGAAGAATGAAAGCAGAGAAACAATTTTGAGACTTAATACTAAGGCTGAGCACAGTAACTCATGCTTGTAATCCTAGCACTTTGGGAGGCTGAGACGGGCGAATCATTTGAGGTCAAGAGTTCAAGACCCGCCTGGCCAACATGACGAAACCCCATCTCTACTAAAAATGCAAACAATTAGCCAGGCATGTTGGTGCCCGCCTGTAGTCCCAGCTACTCTGGAGGTTTGAGGCATGAGAATCACTTGAACCTGGGAGGTGGAGGTTTTAGTGAGTCGAGATTGCGCCACTGCACTGCAGCCTGTGTGACAAAGTGAGACCCTGTCTCAAAAATAAAAAATAAAAATAAAAAAGAGCCAAACAGAGGCCATATAGCTTAAATAATGATTTTTTCATGTTTATGAAAATCTTTATCTCCTTTCCTCTCCATGCGTTCTGTTTTTTTTTTTTTTTAAACTCAATGTTTATTTTCCATGAGTCTTACATGTTGTTTAAGAGCTCACACAAGAACAGCTTAAGACCATTCAGTGGTTGCTCCTACCCATTCAGTGGCCTGAGCAGTGGGAGCTGCAGACCAGTCTTCCGTGGCAGGCTGGGCACTTCAGTCTTCAGTAGGGAACTGCTGGATAGGCACAGAGGGCACCTGCACGCCGTCAGACCAGTTGGCAACCTCAGGCTGAGTGGCAGTGAACTCAGGAGCTGGAGCAGTCCATTCGCCCTGGAATTCCTCCTTGGTCACAGCCTTTTCAGCAGCAGCCTGCTCTTCTTTTTCAATCTCTTCAGGATCTCTGTAGAAGTAGAGATCAGGCATGACCTCCCATGGGTGTTCACAGGAAACGGTGCCACGCAAGCGCAAAACTTCCCGAGCCAGTATCCATCACATCAAACCCACTGAGTGAGCTCCCTTGTTGTTGCGTGGGATGGCAATGTCCACACAGCGCAGAGGAGAATGACATAGAGCAATGGTAGGTAGGTTAACATAAGACGCCCCCGTGAGAGGCTGGTGGTCAACCCTGGGGTCAGTAACCACAAGGAGCTGTGGCTCCCGGAAGGCTGCCTGGATCTGGTTGGTGAAGGTTCCAGGAGTAAAGCGGTCAGCAATTGGAGTGGCTCCCGTGGCAGCAGCAAACTTCAGCACAGCCTCTGGCCAGTATTCCTGAAGGCTAGAACACTGACATCAGCAGGGTTTTCAATGGCAACAATGGCACCCGCTGCCAGGAGAAGCTTCTCCCAGGTCCTCTGCAGATTTATGATGTAGATGCCATCACTTTTAGATATACTGCTCCATCTGGTAGTCAAGGTTGGTGCCACCTAAATGGGTTCCTGCTGCCAGGAACTTAAGTACATCTTACTCCTTCATTTGCAGGACATCAAGGGCTCTGAACATTGTGAAAGTTTCCCTTTAAGTTACGACAGGAATCTGGAGCAACACGCCATTTGGAGCCCTCGGCGGGTAGTGCAGAAAGCTCCACATGTTCTTTTTTCCGTAGAACCTACCACAGTGCAAGCAGGCAACAAATATTTGTTGGAAGAATGAATGAATGAATGCATAAATTCACTATGATCAGGTATCGCTGGTCCAGAGCAAGATAAATGAAGGTCAAAGAATAGGTGCCAGAAGGAGATAATTTCCTCTTGACATTAGGACTAAATTCCTAAGAGGCCTTCCTGCTTATCTGAGTGATGTCTAAGTTCTTAGGCCATGTGATTTATACTAACCTTAGTTCTTACCAACAGTGATTGGTTATATAAACACCCAAGTAATTCAGACCCATATATGTCTATTTCGGCACAAAAGATCTGTGCCTTGTTAATTCTGGAAGAGCTGGTGGAAGGAAAGACACTGTCATGTCCACTTCCTTCCTGACTTGGACTCCTTTCTAAGGGTTGGTGTTTATTTCTTAGTTACAACGGGGGTTGAACGGGGCACATGTATATTTCCTGAGTGTTTATAGGGCGCGAGGAGTGATGACCAGAGCAGGCATGAAGCCACAGACAGTGCTGCCTTCATTAAGACCAGGCTACCTACCTAGAATAGAAAAACTGGCTAAACGGAGAGAAGCAGTGATCGTCCAAGCTCATGTTGAGCTCTGAGGGGAAATCCCACTTCTGGGTGCAGCTGAATCATGCATACGTATATTACAGCAGTCCCCAACCTTCCTGGCCCCAGGGACCGGTTTCGTGGAAGATAATTTTTCCATGGACGGGTAGCGAGTCAGGGGCGATGGTTTCAGGATGATTCAAGCACATTACATTTACCGTGCACTTTATTTCTCTGGTTATTACATACTCACCATGGTGTAGAAGCAGTGGGAGCCCTGAGCTTGTTTTTCAACTAGACAGTCCCATCTCAGGGTGATGGGAAACAGTGATAGATCATCGAGCATTAGATTCTCATAGGGAGTGCACAACCTAGATCCCTCGCACGCGCAGCTCACAGTAGTGTTTGTGCTCCAGTGAGAATCTAATGCCGCCACTGATCTGACGGGAGGCGGAGCTCAGGCCGTAATGCCAGTGATGGGGAGCAGCTGTAAATACAGACGAAGCTTCCCCCACTTGACTACCGCTTACCTCCTGCTGTGTGGTCCAGTTCCTAACAGGCCGTGGCTGGTACTGCTCTGTGGACTGTGGTTTGGGGACCCCTGTCCTAGTAGATCTGTGAGCAATGTCTGAAGTGTTAGTCAAGGCAAATGGAGCTCATCCTTCCGAGGCTGAGGCCAGATATTGGCTTGCCCATTGCAGAGGATAATTCTCTGGGCTCTAAGACGTGGCTTTGCTTCCTCATAACCTGTTTTTTTATTAGTAGTGTCTAAGTAGTAAGTAAGTGTAATTGGCTTCTCTTAAAAGCCTTTTGGGCCAGGTGTGGTAGCTCACACCTGTAATCCCAGCACTTTGGGAGGCCGAGGTGGAAGGATCACCTGAGGTCGGGAGTTCGAGACCAGCCTGACCAACATGGTGAAAACCCATCTCTTTAAAAAGTAAATAATAAAAAAAAGCCTTTTGGAAGTACTTTTATGTCACATGAATAGAAGCAATGGAGATAATTTCCTTCTTTCATCTTCATTCGCTGTTCTGTCTTTGGCCCAGTTTCACTTTCAGCACAGCAGAGATGTTGCTCCTGGTCATCTCTATGTATCTGTGTTCACTTCTTGGATTCACTGTTCATGCAGGGTTATTTGCAGTCTCCTCCATCCTCCTCCCACCTTCTGTTCCCTGTCTTTCATGTCAGCCAGTCAGACTGTACCTCATCCTTTGAAGGGAACTGGGAGTCTTTCTTTTGCTCCCATTTTCCCCAGTGTGTAGACACTAGCAATGGCAAGGTGGTTTAGCATTCACCATTAATAAACATTTTACTAAGGGTTTAATCATCAACATGTTATTTCCTGTTTTTCTCACATCGATGTGAAAACTACCTTTGTCTCTCTAGTGACAATGTGCTGGTATGACACAGCTTTTGATAAAATTGATTAACTGACTTCTCAGAGTTGTCCTCTAGGGATGTCCTGGAACTCATTCAGTTGTCCAAAAAAAAAAAACAACCAACCAAACAAACAACAACAACAACAAAAAAAACCAGGGTTAGACTGAAACAGGGGTGACACTAGGAAGGCATTTGCTTTGAAAGACTGTAGTTTCAGCTTTGCACAGTAGCAGTGTAGCCAATGAGGTTTATCTGAGGTGCGATCATTGCGAATTGAAAACTTTTCCCAATACCCTGCTGTGACGACTTGCAATATAGTCAGCATTGGCAATTTTTGGCAGTCTCTACAGAGACTGATTATAGGGAAAAAAAAAATGAAAAACAGAAAGAAAAAATAATTAAAAACAAAGAAAGACTATAATTTCTATTGAAACATACAGTTTGTTGATGGTCTTCATCCATTAGTATTTACATTTCTTTGCCAATGTCTAGAAAATATGTGATTCTAACAAAATTCTCTGATTTCAAAATATTATTTTTCCCTCAAAGACCATCAGAGAGTCTCACTACTACATGTGAGATGTGCTCTCATGTTTCTTTATTAATTTAAGTCCTGACTTGGGCATTATATTTTATGCTAAGGCAAAATGTGTTCCTTCTTAGTTACCCCATTTAAACCTACGGGGGATTCCAATAGGTTGTTTTCAAAAGATTACCTTTAAAATGCCAGGATGTGTATGCTTAGAGATATGCATTTGTAAATTTCAAAAAGTAGAGGCAAAAGTAAAATTAATGGTTATCATTGTCTTTCTGGAAGGCATTACAGACGGTCCTTCACTTACGATCATTCAACTTTTCAACTTTACATTGATATGAAAACAATACACATTCAGTAGAAACTGTACTTCGTTTCTGAGTACCGATATAACCATTCTATTTTTCACTTTCAGTATAGTATTAATAAATTACATGAGATATTCAGCACTTTGCTATAACGTAGGCTTTGTGTGAGATAATTTTGTTCAGCTGTAGGCTATTATGAGTGTTCTGAGCACATTAAAGTTAGGCCAGGATAAGCTATGATGGTTGGTAGGTAAAGTGTGTTAAATGTATTTTGGACCATGCGTGGTGGCTCATGCTTGTAATCCCATCACTTTGGGAGGCCGAGGAAGGAGGACTGCTTGAGCCTAGGAGTTTAAGACCAGCCTAGGCCGAGCGTGGTGGCTCACGCCTATAATCCCAGCACTTTGGGAGGCCGAGGCAGGTGGATCACTAGGTCAAGAGATCGAGACCATCTTGGTCAACAAGGTGAAACCCTGTCTCTACTAAAAATACAAAAATTATCCAGGCATGGTGGTGCATGCCTGCAGTCCCAGCTACTTGGGAGGCTGAGGCAGGAAAATTGCTAGAACCCAGGAGGCGGAGGTTGTAGTGAGCCAAGATTGTGCCATTGCACTCCAGTCTGGGTAACAACAGCCAAACTCTGTCTCAAAAAAAAAAAAAAAAAAAAAAAAAAGACCAGCCTGGGGAACATGGTGAAACCTCATCTCTACTAAAAATATTAAAAAGTAGCCAGATGTAGTGGTACACACCTGTAGTGCCAGCTACCTACTTGGGAGGCTGATGTTGGGGAATCACTTGAGCCTGGGAAGTTGCTGTAATGAGTCATGATCACACAACTGCACTCTAGCCTGGGTGACAGAGTGAGACCTGTCCCAAAAAATAAAATTAAAAAATTTTTTAAAAAATTGACAACAATATTTTCAGCTTACAATGGATTCATTGGGACATAACTCCATCACAAGTTGAGGAGCATGTTCATATTTCCCACCATGGTGGAGTTTTCTGAAATGAGATTGAGTGCCAAGTTCTGCTCTGGTAGAGCTGAAAAGGATAATAAGCTGGAGCCACAGCAATCTATTTATATTGGCTTGATTGCAGGAAGATGAGAACATGGAATTCAGTGTTTACTGGAAGAAATAACACCTATGTTCAACCAGGTGATTACCAAAGGGAACCAAGAAAAATGAAAAAAAAAAAGAAAAAAAAAAAAGAAAAGAAAATTAACAACCCTAACTTCCAACAACTCTACCTGGTTTAGCACAAAGTACTGAATTGGTGGGCACTTTCCACAAATTGCCTGTATAGATGTACTGGCTCGATGAATAAATTCAGAAAGAAGGCTTTGCCCGGGGTATACCACACTATGAAATTTGAATGATTTTTCTGGAGCAGGAAAATGATGGTTTGGGGATTATATATGCAGACTATGGGACTAGAGAGACCTCACTTTTTTTTTTTTTTTTGAGATGAAATTTTGATCTATCACCCAGGCTCGAGTGCAATGGTATGATCTTGGCTCACTGCAACCTCTAGAGTAGCTGTGATTGCAGGCGTGCCTCAGCCTCCTGAGTAGCTGTGATTTCAGGCATGCCTCAGCCTCCTGAGTAGCTGGGATTACAGGCATGTGCCACCATACCCTGCTAATTTTTGTATTTTTAGTAGAGGTGAGTTTTCGCCATGTTGGCCAGCCTGGTCTTGAACACCTGACCTCAGGTGATCCTCCCATCTTGGCCTCCCACAGTGCTGGGATTACAGGTGTGAGCCACCTTGCCCAGCTACAAGATCTCGCTTCTAATCACTATTCTGCCACTTACATAGCTGTGTGATTTGGGGCAAATTGCCTAATTTCTCTCTCTGCCTTGGATTACTTGCCTGTATTGGGGAGTAACAGGGTCTATCTTATAAGTTACTGTAATGATCCAAATGAAATAATGTATGTAAAGTTACGATTTTTATGTATGTAAATAAGTCATGTATATTTAGCAATGCAGGCTATTATAAGGTAAAAGAAAAGGATAATGTAAGGTAAAATAAGAGCATTTTAGAAGAAAAAGTTCTGGCTAGGTGTGGTGGCTCATGCCTGTAATCCTAGAACTTTGGGAGGCCAAGATGGGTGGATCACCTGAGGTCAGGAGTTCAAGACCAGCTTGGTCATCATGGAGAAACCCCATCTTATCTGTTTTATTTAAAAAAAGGAAAAAAAAAAAAAAGTTCTTTGAAATTTTTGAAAGTGAGGCACTCATTGGTAAATACTTAGCATCTGATTTGATCAGTAAAATATTGGCCAAGGATGGATCTACCCTAAATAAGCAACTTTACCTGGTGTCAAAGGACAGCTACTTTATTTACAGAGATGGTAGAGAGCAACATATTTGCTCGTGGCTAACAAATTCCTAAATCAAACTAGATGGAAAGGCCCAACATTAGAAGATTCTGGCTGGGCGTGGTGGCTCACGCCTGTAATCCCAGCTCTTTGGGAGTCTGAGGCAGGCGGATCACAAGGTCGAGAGATCGAGACTACTCCAGCCAACATGGTGAAACCTCATCTCCACTAAAAATACAAAAATTAGCTGGGCATGGTGGCGCACGCCTGTAATCACATCTACTCAGGAGGCTGAGGCAGGACAATCGCTTGCATCCAGGAGACGGAGGTTGCAGTGAGCCACGATTGCACCATTGTACTCCAGCCTGGTGACAGAGTGAGACTCCGAAGATTCTGTGTGCACATGGGTGTATAAGTAAGTGCAGATGTTAGTGATGGTGGCTTTTCCATAGCTGTATAATTTTTCCCTTAAATTATTTTGACCTCTTAGTTATCCATCTAGTGGAGAGGTGTCTTTATTATTTTTATTTTTTATTTTTTTGAGACACAGCCTGCTTTTTTGCCCAGGCTAGAGTGCAGTGGTGTGATCTCAGTTCACTGCAACCTCCGCCTCCCAAGTACAAACGATCCTCCTGCCTCAGCCTCCCAAGTAGTTGGGACTATAGGCACCTGCCACCACGCCCTGTTAACTTATGTATTTTTAGTAGAAATGAGAGAGAATTTCACCATGTTGGCCAGGCTGGTCTCAAATTCCTGACCTAAATGATCCACCCACCTCAGCCTCCCAAAGTGCTGGGATTACAGGCATGAGTCACTGAGCCCGGCCTAGAGAGGTGTCTTTAAATGGCCACTCTAGTCCTGAGCTTTGGATAGTATGGTAGTCTGGGATAATTTTTACTTTTTTTTTCTTTCAATCACAGTTGAGTCTCGGATAATTTTTAAAGATTCCAATTCTCCTCTTTCCAGACACCTGGAAAGAATATGCTTCTCTACTTCTATAAAGCTAGGCATGCCCACATAATTTGACTTGGCAAATGAAATGTGAGAGTAAATAATGAGACTCACCTCTCATTTCCTCTGTGTTGGTCACCGAAGAAGAACATACTGAGATGGAATCTACATTAGCCAACTCTGCTGGCTGGTGTGAGACATGTATTGTGAATAAGAAACAAATTGTCAGCCAGTGAGATCTGGGGGTTGTTTGTTGTTAAAGTAGAAGCTAGACTACCCTGACTGATGCAGGCCATGGAGGGCCAGGTATCTACTTGTGGATGGACACGGGTTCAGAAGTAGCCTGTGACACAGCTGCACTTTACAGGTTGATGCTTAAAGAACTACTCTTCAGGCCGGGCGCGGTGGCTCAAGCCTGTAATCCCAGAACTTTGGGAGGCCGAGGTGGGTGGATCACGAGGTCAAGAGATCGAGACCATCCTGGTCATCATGGTGAAACCCCGTCTCTACTAAAAATACAAAAAATTAGCTGGGCATGGTGGCACGTGCCTGTAATCCCAGCTACTCAGGAGGCTGAGGCAGGAGAATTGCCTGAACCCAGGAGGCGGAGGTTGCGGTGAGCCGAGATTGCGCCATTGCACTCCAGCCTGGGTAACGAGAGCAAAACTCTGTCTCAAAAAAAAAAATAAAAATAAATAAAAAAAAATAAAAAAGAACTACTCTTCAAAGATGAGAACAGCCCACAAACAAAACAAAACAACACAAAAGGAAAATTCTTCAGAAGCTACGTCCTGAGAGCCCTTCTGTTGCTAACAGGACTTTCTCTCCCTCTAGCTACTGCCTGGCATGGGAGGTTGATCCATTCACTTTCTCCTTTACCATCTCTGATTCATACAACTATAATTGTTGAAAAGACATTGTGGACTAATGACATCTTTTATGATTGCTTTCTACATCCCTCTTCCTTGCCAACTCCCTCTCTGCCTCTCTACTTCCTTCCTTCCTGAAAAAAATGAAATGATAGAGTATGCCTACTTTGTGCCAGGCATTGTGTAAATTTCTGGAAGTGCAAAGCCAGAGGATTGCAATTTGGCCCCAGGTGAGCTTCCATCTAGTTAATGGTATAGTCTAACCTCTTTAAACAAATACTACTGATATAAAGTGGTGACTGTTATACAGGTACTTATTTACAAAATAACATCTAGGCTCCCAAATAACATGGAGTGGCAGTCATCT